AGGGCGAGGGGCGGGTTTTTGTCTCTGTTGCCGCTGCGGCCGCGATGGAGACGGCTGGCGATGCCGAGCGCGGTTGCTGAGAACGATGCGGAGCTTTGGGATGGTTTCTGCTTCAAATGAAGCCGGGTTAGGGGTGTTAATGGATTTGTATAGGAATGTGACTTAGACGATGCGGAAGACACACTCAAATTGAACGCACCGCATAGGGTATATCTGTTTGGATGTGGCCATAAATACGAATGCGATGGTATTTCCATTTGTTATGTTTCGTTTAACCTAATAGGCAGCGTAATTTCAAACAGGACGTTTGCCTTAACGGCCAAATTCGTAAGATATTTGCTTGATTAAAATGCCACACTGGAAAAATTTGGAACTACTTTTTTTGTTGTAACCCAAGAAAAGCTGTTCGGTGACTTGCTTCACACATATTGATACTTACAGTTCTAGTGGAAATGATTTAAAATTATTTTGAAAGCAGAAAGCACAAGCGAGCGTTATGGGAAGATTCATGGATGTTTATGCACGCACCCTTACACACTCGCACATGTTTACATGGCATTGTCAATGTTTGTAAATTTTTTATTTCGAGCCAGGTCCATGAAAAGTTGAATTGCTTATGTGCTTGCAAAATTATGCATACGTCCCTGCATAGCGCGTATGTACAGCTGTTCCCACCAATAAGCTTCTTCAAATCGTCTTAGAATCGTCGAGGGTGTGGGAAGTCGTACTTTCCCAGATTGTCGTGCTTACTGTGTGCGAGCGCAGACTATCGTCCCAAACAAGCATGGGACCACAAATCCGTCGTCTAGATGGGCGAACAGAGGCATATCTCCCAAGCTATGAACAAGTGGCTTTGTCACATCTGTAGCCAAACACCATGCGTCAGCGGCCCGTCGACAGGGTGAAGTGAAGGCAAACAACAGGTCTCGCCGGACCCGGCCTCCCGGACAGCGTGACGCGGGCCCGGGCCTTTACTGAGCTGCGATACTTAAAGTGAGTTTTATTAGGAGTCGATCATAGCAGGTTACATGGAAGTAGCAACAGCTATCACCCGATATACGTACGTTCCTACGATACAGCTGAGGAGTTCCCAGAGGAATGATGCAGGATGTCCATATTGTGCAAGTGGGAAATTTTATATCGATTCCCGGTGGGAAGAGATTCATGTATCAGAACAACTCGCATATATATGGAGTACCTGCAGCAGGCAATGTACAAGTACGAACAAAATCCCTTCCCTGCAACAGAAGGGAGGCAAAGGCTGCTCGCTTAAGAGCATGTGAACTGGGCAAGGGTGGAAAACACCAAAATAACCAAATATTTTAATTTCAATTTCGTAAGATTATTTATTTCAGAGTGAGTGTGTGTGTGTGTGTGAGAGAGAGAGAGAGAGAGAGAGAGAGATATATATATATATATATATATATATATATATATATAGCAAAACACAGCCATAGAGCCTCAAATGCTGCATTCATTTGTATGGTCGTGTGTTAGGAACTTTGGAATACTTTGGAAGGGAGATGATACCCCACTGTATACGACTTATATGGTGGTCTCATACAGTGGGGTATCTCCCTTCCAAGATGTTCAAAAACTGTTAACACACAATCATACACAGCTCAATGCAGCATTTGAGGCTTACGTAAGCTGTTCAGTGCGTTTGCGAGGAACATTATTTACATAGAAAAGACAGCAGCAATAGACTTATTCCTCGGAGAAAAGCAGAAAAATTATGTGGGTTGATATTTCGGCAACATGCCTTTGTCGAAACGATAACATTTGAGGCTGTTCAATTGTGTGACACAAATAATGTGTTATCCACCATCTCTCGAGCTCACTCCTCATCCTGCTCTGCTCTCTTCCTCTCTCCCTCTCTCCCTCTCTCTTTTGCTCTTCTCTGTCTCGTCTGTGACGGTTACCCGAGACCCCGGCCCCACATCCCGAGCCCGGCCCTGACATTGCCGTCGCGCCGTTGCAGGTCTGGTTCCAGAACCGGCGGACCAAGTGGCGGAAGCGTCACGCGGCAGAGATGGCCACGGCCAAGCGGAAGCAGGAGGAGGCGGTGGAGGGCACCGAACCCGGCTCCGACTCGGACGACGAGCGAGCCGCCAAGAAGATCAAGTACGAGACGGACGAGTAGGCTGACAACGGCCGCCCAGCCACACCCATTTATCGCTAGTCATTGTTAAATGTGTACATAACCATGTTCACATGTTACCGCAGTTGCACGCTTTGGACGCGCCGGCCGGCCAGGCGGTGGGGCGGGGGAGAGGGGGGGGGGGGGGGGAGGCGAGAGAGTGGCGGACGGAATCGAGAGTGACGTTGCTGAGGCGTGCCTGTGATTGGCCGTCTGGGCCCTCGGTGTCGCCACGCTGACCAGTACAGATGGCCGGTCGGACTGAGTGTAGACGGGCGCCTCGCGACGCGCCCGCTTCTGTACTCGCAATGCGTTGTTCGGTGTTTGGAATTAGGTAAGGTCTTGCTCTTGAGTTTATCGTGGACTGCCCATCACTCCAGTCCACCACGCTTGTACATAGTATACAGACAACGCCATCAAAACTTTTATATTAAACCCCAGTGGCTGTCAGGCCTGTCGGCTAGAAGTCACGTCAGTGCTATTCTCTTTTAATGTGATATCCAGAAATGCGATGTAATACGCCAATAGATTGATGTCCGAGTCATCCGTTTGACAGTGTATGAATGTTCGATGAAATGCGACCGACATCGCCCCGATGAAGTCATCCTCCAACTTGGTGAGCCGGCATGAAACGTCGTCGGGCGCGCCGACCCATCGAGCCGGCCCAGTTCTTGGAAAGTTGTCGGCGCGCTGAGTGAAGGCCTATTCCGACCGACTCGGGTGCCGTTCTCCGGCAATAAACCACCTCAGCTAACAAAATTCCCTTATCTTGCACGGCTGAGTTGATGGGATGCCCCCATTCCGCCTCTTCTATCACGTCACATTATGCAGAAACCATTGGGAAATATGATGTTTTATATGCCATATCCGAGATTAAACTCGAGGCCTTGAGGAGCCGCGCCGCGTCGGCCAATGGCGGCGCTCGTATTTTCTCGCCGACCAATCAGCGACCGGCACCGCCCGACGCGATGATGTAAGATTATGGGAGAAAGAGCTTTTATGATATTGAGGTTGAAAATAATATTATTGTTACAAAGATGAAGGATGATAAAGATAAATCGGTCGGCTGAAAGATTATTTGTCATCCCGGGAATGAAACGCCGGAACAGCCTAGTCATCTGGGTGTACTGCTGATGGATTCAGCGGGCGAAGAAAATCCCTTCGCCGACCATGCTGGCTGGCGTCGGTACCGGGCAGAACGGGCCGGCCCGCGCTCCGCCACAGCCGCCGGTATTGGTCGACTGACGCGTACGTATTAATGTGCGAGCCTGCGCGCACACGCCGGCGATCGGTGCGGCTGCGGTGATTTATCCGACGCCTGATGGGTACGCTGCCATCTCCTCCGCAACCAATCAATCGGAGAGGGCGACGCAGGCGGTGAGAGGGTGCCCGCGCCGTGTGGGGTGCTGTTGGTGTTCTCGTGGGGCCCCGCCGCGTGCTGGGTGGGCGTGGTGGCTGTGCAGTGTACAGGATTTTTCCCACTTGAGAATTTGACGAGGTGGATGTTAATCTCCAGGGATTAAATAATCGTCCATTCCATGCTGGCCCAAGCGCTGATGATGGCGTGGTCCAGAGTTTGGATTATTTACGCTGTGGATGGAACTAGCTTTTCTGCAAAGAGCTTCTGCACTTACATGTGCAGCATGTAGCCGTGTTAAATACCGATTTCCCCGGACTTGTATGCAGATTTACAGGGAAATCGAGCGGTGCTAAAGCACGCTTTTAAATTCGTTACTTAGCCTTGCGGGAAGGCTGAACGGCTGCAGCCATGGCAAGCAACATTATCTCCACTAATGTAAATCGGCTATTTGTAGTAACATTGCCGCAGAAACTCAAAATGGGATGCAACATACTTGAAAACTTTTGTTCAAAGCTCCTGCATTTTTGCAAAGTGCTGTTCTCTTTACGCCACAATATCTTGGAAATCAAATGTAATTAGCGGCGCGACAAAGAATGCTCAGGCGGCTCTCCTAGACCCAACGCATGTAACATCGCTGAAACGTTATCTTTAGAGCCATATCCACGTTCAGAAACGTGTAAGGGAAGGCCAGCAATATCATGTCGTGACTCCTACACGACTTCATCGAAGTAGCAAGCCCACACGACGCCCCCTACTCTTCGGACAACACCAGCATGTCATGACCCCCCGGACCGGACCCACACACGGCTTCCTGCCGCGGCGACAACGGAGGCCGTTCATGTACCCACACCCGACCCCTCCCCTGCGCCTCAGCGAACGAAGCCCCTCGCTACCGTGAACCCATCGGCCTGCCAGGCCTGCTACCATCGGCGCGGGCCCCGCGTCGACGCGGACGTGCGGCACGTGTCCGGGTGTCGGCGCGTGAGGACCGGCACGTGGCGGCCGGCGGCAGCGGCGCCGGCCGGCCGCTAACAGCCGGATTAGCGCCGGCCGGGGGCCGCCGGGGCCGCCCCGGGGCGCTGCCGCCGTCGGCCCCGCCGCGATATTGCCGGACAGGGCGGCGACAAGCGTGAACGATACGGGAAATCGGATAACGACCGGTAAATGAGCGGCCCTGAGCTGCGAGGCTCGGGAGGGGCCGCGGGGCTACATCACACGGGGGCTCAGAATGGCAGCGGGGCTACATCACACGAGGGCTCAGGAGGGGAGGCGGGGCTACATCACACGCGGGCTCAGGGGAGGCCGCGGGGCTACATCACACGGGGGCTCAGAATGGCAGCGGGGCTACATCACACGCGGGCTCAGGAGGGGAGGCGGGGCTACATCACACGCGGGCTCAGGAGGGGAGGCGGGGCTACATCACACGCGGGCTCAGGAGGGGAGGCGGGGCCACATCACGCACGGGCTCAGGAGCAGCCGCGGAGCCACATACGCACGGGCTCAGGAGCAGCCGCGGAGCCACATCACGCACGGGCTCAGGAGCAGCCGCGGGGCCACATCACGCACGGGCCCAGGAGCACCTGTGGGGCCACATCACACACGGGCTCAGGAGCAGCCGCGGAGCCACATCACGCACGGGCTCAGGAGCAGCCGCGGGGCCACATCACGCACGGGCTCAGGAGCGGCCGCGTGGTTACATCCCTCGAGGGGTGGGCAGGGACAGTGAGACTTCTGGCAAGCGTACACAGAAAGGTCAATAAGGCTAAATCACGTGAAGCTCAGAAGGAACACTGGGACTCCAGCCCGCACAGCCGCTGGGGGAACAGTAAGGCTCAGTGGCGTAGCCAAGCAAGGGGCATAAGGCTTCCACCTCTGGAGGTAAGCAGGCCATTTTGACGGCGAAGCCGATACCTTTTTGAGGCACCCGCTCATTTCCTGAGCGTATACAGGCTGGAGTTAAGAAGTCGCACTGGTTAATCTCCTAGCATGTTAAGGTTTGGATAACGGGCAGGTTTGCCAGTGTGTGGTTCTCACACTATCATACATACACCTAAGGTGTGTGCTTTTATTATGATACGTCATTAGTGGCCTTGCACAGTTGTGTATTTTGGGCCAGTTTCAGTCATTTTTCTTCCCCTGGCTACTCACTAGTCACGCTGTGCGAATTGCATCACTGTTCATCGAAAGTGAAATCTGACCGGTTTAGTTTACTGGATGATTTGTGTGCCCGCATTTTTATTTTCTGGGTGTGCAAACGCTTGGCTTCCTGCGCGGCTGGACTGTTCCGCGGAGCACAGAGAATGGGATAAGTGTCACACTAACCTCCGACTGTACCCAACTGTGGTGCCGACCGTGGCTCATGTTAAATGGTCTGTAGCTATAGCTGTTCTGTTCAGCATCTCCCGCGAAATGAGTTCAGAAGCTCGTGTGCCTGGGCTTATTCTGATCCGCCACAGACGCTAACCTCATGTCAGTGCACCAATACATGCCAGCATATAGTGTTGTACTGTACAGCACACCGGAATGCCATCTGGTTAAGAAGGCGATGTAGGACCTCATCGGCACAGCAACGGCAAAGCAGCCGGCGGAAGGTCCTTTACCAATGTCACAGGGAGCCCCGGGCGGTGCTGACCCCGAAGGGCGACTCCAGAGGGGGTCAGACACTGCGTCAGAAGACGTCACGGTGCGCATGGCAGCAGCAAGCGGCCCTCTAGTCGCGGTCCGCCAGACTGTCACGCATCTCCTCTGAAGCTGGCCAGAGTTATGGAGCTGAGAACCTGACGTATCTACATACATCCCTGCACCGTGTCAGCCGCTGCCACAGTGGCTGACGGGGCTATGACTAATTTTTGTGTTTAATCTGATACGCTTATAATGCACTGTGATACATACTAATCCCTACAACAAAATCCTCGAAATGGATGGTTGGTTTAGGCGTTATATCGGTGCAAAAAAACAAACTGCGAATGATACTATCTATTACGCCATCAGCTTTCTTGGAAACTTGCAACGCAACATGGGCAACTGAGGCTGGATGCCAGATCACTGTCCACCACAACGCAGTGATTGCAATGCACCGACATGGTCGGCCGGGGCTTTCCGAAGGGAAATCATCGAGAGCCGCCGGAGATCCCACAGATTGGAGATCTATCCCTCGGTCGATCTCAGCTGCCCACATGTCGAAATGAACGAACATTTGGAAACATAGCAGCGTTCAGCTCTGGTTGCTGCTGCGCGCACATGGTCCGAGCTCCACAGTGATTTTTCGTTAAAGTCTTATTCCCAGATCCAAGAACCGTTACTTACAAACCCATCGAATGTCAACGACATGGATCAGATTCTAGGCAGCTCTTAATCAGCATTCATAGCAACAGCTTCTTTTGCGCTGAGACTGTTTGGTGGACTTCAGACACAATCTCCTCTGGCATTCACACCACATCACCGGACCTGTCTAACTAGTGGGCACCAATGTCCATTTCCTGACATCCACAACACACTGTCGGAGCCTGCCGTCCCCAGCGCAGACCCCAGCCTCTCCCCCATGCCATATTACCAGAGTCCCGTCCTTAGTGCAAACCCCAGCCTCTCCCCCACACCACATCACCAGAGTCCCGTCCTCAGTGCAAACCCCAGCCTCTCCCCCACACCACATCGCCAGAGTCCCGTCCTTAGTGCAAACCCCAGCCTCTCCCCCACACCACATCACCAGAGTCCCGTCCCTAGCGCAGACCCCAGCCTCTCCCCCACACCACATCACCGGAGTCCCGTCCCTAGCGCAGACCCCAGCCTCTCCCCCACACCACATCACCGGAGTCCCGTCCCTAGCGCAGACCCCAGCCTCTCCCCCACACCACATCACCAGAGTCCCGTCCCTAGCGCAGACCCCAGCCTCTCCCTCCACACCACATCACCAGTCTGCCGTCCCTAGCGCAGACCCCAGCCTCTCCCTCACGCCACATCACCGGAGTCCCGTCCCTAGCGCAGACCCCAGCCTCTCCCCCACACCACATCACTGGAGTCCCGTCCCCAGCTCGGTCCAGCCGCTCCATCGCCGCACTGCTCCTCCCAGCCAGCGGGCGACTGGACGGCCAGGGGTGCGACGATGAAGGATAAGCGTCGATTAGTGACACCGGCGCACTGCGGGGGCCGTTCCGCTCCGCCGGAGGGCGACGGGACCCCGCGCCGACGCCGGCTCATCGGCGCCGATGACCAATAATGAACAGCGCCGCACCGACCGTCGGCGGCGGCGGCTAAAAGCCCGGGCGCCGGCAGCCGGCCATACGACACAGTGTAATCTAATAGTGACCCTCGCTGGCGCCTAATGGCTATCCGATTTGTTGTCTGATTTATCGGGCCGGCCCGGCGGCCGGGCGCCAGTTGGCCCGGTCGCATTGATTATTCGTTATTAAAACTTCGGACAAAGGGATGAGCGGGCGGCGGGCGGCGCCTGACCCCAGTCGGCCCGCGGGCCGTGCGGGGTGTTCCCCGTCGGCTGGACAGGCCGCCAGCGGTGGGGGGTGGGGGGGGGGGGGACGGGGAGAGCGGGGCGATGGACGCCAACCGACCGTACCGCGCGCTTGGCAGCGTTCCCGGGACAGGTGAGCTACATGCTGACGGTGAATAGGTGTGTCTGGACAGATATGTTTGTATTGGTACCAATTTTGGAAGCGCACGAGTGATTTGGTGTGTTCGACTGAAACGCCGGAGGACAGACGCGGCAGGAAAACTGAGGTGCAATGCTAGAGAAAACTTCTTAACATCTAGCAGTTCCAAGGCTTTCCATACATCAGCAATTTTATTACAAGTTAATCACACATGGAAGCAAGCACGCAGCTGGGATGATCCTCACAGGAAAGGGGCGACAAAGGACAACAAAAACAACAACAAGGGACAAGCTTTCTCTTAACTGCCGCGAGTTTTCAATCAGTTCCTGCGAAATCGCTCAGTCAGTGTCTGGTGTAAGCCTCTTGTCTCGGGAGGGCGGGAGGGGGGGGGGGGGGGCGGGGCAGTTAACCACGTAAAATTCCACCTTGGCTATGCCGTGCATCAAAGCGACTCTTTCCGCCATATCATTAAGTTTCTCTCGCATTTGTTCTAAGTCACCATTTATAGCACACTGCATTTGGGAATAGCCGAAGCTTGGCAGAACGCCATCCCGTCTTGTTATTTCCATTTCGATAGAGAAGAGCATAGGAGAAGAGCAGCGCAAAACAGGAATGTGGAGGAGGTAGAAGGGAGGAGAAACAAACGAGTAAGAAGGCGAGGAAAGAGAAAGCACTCTTGACATTTAAAGGAGAGCTCTGAGCTGAGGTAGAGGGAGGGCCCAGACTCAGGCGAAGGGCGCCTTTTGGCCTTTAAGATTGAGAGGTAGGTGCCGGGAAGGGCTTGACCGGGAGAGCCTTCAAAAGAGGGCGGAGAGAGCCTCACGGTAAGACTCATATCAACAGAATTTTCCTGGACTCTTCATTTGGAAGCACATCGCCACCCACTTAACGATGCACACACACAATGATCACACATGCCGTAGGCTGGACAGTTACCTACAAGGGTAGGCACCGGCTCCCGTGTCGAGGTCGACGCGGTGCACAGTGGGCGTACACGTCAGGCCGCACCCAAGCCGCCGCGGCCGCACCCAACAGGCCGCACCCACAGGCCGCACCCAAGCCGCCGCGGATAGAGTGCGCGGTTCATGGGAGAGTAAGCGTGAGCGTGCTTGTGAGAGTGAGAAGCGGAAACAGCATATGAGCAGAAGCAGGCATTAGTGAATGCGTGTGTGGGAAGGGGTGTGTGTGAGTGTGAGTGTGGTTGTGGGTGCGGGTGCAGGTGCGGGTGCGGGTGTGGTTGAGGGTGTTGGTATGGGTGTGGGTGTGGGTGTGGGCGCGGGTGTGAGTGGGGGTGTTAGTATGGGTGTAGGTGTGGGTATGGTAGGCACGGGTATGGGTATGAGCGCGCGCATGCATCATGCAGTAGTGGACGGTTCTCGCTGGGTCAATTGACATCTGTCACAGGGGGATGGACTGCTTGTTATTCTTCATTCAGGATAATATCTTCAGGTGTCCCCATTTCTGTTGACATGGGTTTTGCTTATGAGCCAGTTTTGCAGCAAGGTTTTCAACTTCGGCTTCAGGTTTCCATTTGTTTTTCGATTGAGCAGCTGTGGGCCGCGCTTCTGCATAGCGTGATTTGTAAAAACTAGCTTTGCTAATGAAATTGCAAGGACTTTTATTGCTTCTAGGCTAGTTGGGCGCAACGAAGTTCTGGCGTCTATTACAAAGTCGCTTTAATAACGTGCTAGGATCCCAGTTTTGCTATTTTGTATGCAAGCTTGAACTCACTGCCAGAAATATGAGCGATAGTTCCAGCCTCTATCTTCAAGAAAGAATAACTGTTATCATCGTTCACATGTGCTATTTTCAAATACCTGTTCGTTTAAGGACGCCATTGCTAAGTTTGCAGTGGACGATTATTATGCATGTTGAATGTGTCGCATCTATGATTTCTGCCGTGCTCTCCTCTTCGAAATATCATATGTCTCTTACCCATTTCGCTTCCAGGCGTTCGTTTGTTCGACGCATGCTAC